AACGCACGTCCTCGTACTTAACTGCATGGCTTGGCTTTCTCCCGGTATTCCCATGTATTCGCGGCACCGGTCCATTTGAATTTAAATGTTTTAGTAAAGATTTAACAGTTCTCTGCCCAATATCATTAATGTGGCAGAACACAGATTTACAAACAGTTTTGCCATCAAATGTATATCTATATCTAACTCGTTTACGTTTACCTTTCCTGGTTTCCTGTGCACCTATTTTCAACAGACTTCCCATAACAAACATCTCCTTTTGGTCTTTCTCCATTTCCCTGAGAGACAATATATGCCCTTGAATGTGTTCAGCATCAAACTGCGACAAACAATTGGTCTTACACTTACATTGTACACTTGTGACATCATTATCGTCCGACTCTGATTCAAAAACGCCCTCGCCCCTCTCCCCATCTGATCCTTCCGGCATGCCCTCTGCAGCACTGTAGACAAACTCGTGGACACGTCCTATGATTGTCTCTGCATGTTGGTCATCATCATCGTCTCCCCACTCTCCATTTAATTCGTCCTCTGTTACATGTGCATTTGGCCCCTTCTCGACTGTCTCATTAACAATGCCAAATTCCTCATATAACTCATCTAATTCCTGCGTTTAAATAAAGTAAAAAAAAATATAATAATCTATTGATAAAATTGTATGATCGATGATAGTTATAATCGATATAATCTAGAATAAAATATAAAATGATAAATGTTGTCCCAGTTATCCAGTTAAAATAACTCAGGTACGATAGTAAATGAGGTAATATTAACAAATATTTTCCATTCTTACAAAATATCTATGAAGCACTGTTACAGGTACAATTTCAATTTATTTAATGAATGCATACTATAAAAAAAATTTTAAAAAAAAAAAAAAAAGGGTGGTTGAAGGGTACGAACTTCGGACCTCTCATTTGTCAGTCCTTCACTCTCCCGACTGCGCTACAGAGACGATACTTACCTAATATAGTTATATTCCTATAGTACAGTAAATCGATCGATAACATGAACGATTACTCTTGGTCTGTAACTATGTTACGAAGGGAGGCAATTCCTTTGTATATACTGTTGCTAAGAAGTAAAACCACTGAAAATCGGGATTATTCGATAAAATTCACATTTTAAACTTAAACTGCTAAATACTTGGTGTTATATATTACATTCAGGATGCAAGTTGACAAATAAAAACATAATTTCACCATAAATAACCTCATTTTTTAACTGAAGCGCTCAAATCATCTGTCAAATTTGACAGCAGACGCAACATCTCAAAAGAGTAAAAAAATCTAGTTTTGCACTTTAAATCTTTGTATTTTTTGTTTTTTAAGTCATATAAAGATACAAAAATACCTGAAAATCATTCTTCTCAGACATGGTGTCTAAATTCCGCCTACAAAACACGGAAATTCATGATCTAGCGGCAACAAGGTACTTGAAAAGCCGACATAAACTGCGAACAATTTCGCGGACTTTTAACCGGTGTTTGAAAAACTTGTCCGAAGGTACAAAATGTCATGACGGCGCCCATAATATATACCAAATATCAAAGCTCTTAGCCTTGTACAGTAAACTCCGCTTATAACGAACTCATTGGGACATTCAAAATCTGTTCCTTATATCCGGAGTTCCTTGTAAGCATATAGCGAATTAGTTCCTTGTATCAGGAGTTTTTATAGCGAACAGATTTACATATAACGAACTGATTGTTAAACATTTTTAAGAGCATTTGATTAAGAATAATTAATCATTTATTTCTTTTTTAGACACAATACCCGAGAGCGTACATTTTGGAATTTGAAAATTCTTTGCTATTTCAGTTTTAGTTTTACTCCCTTTCTCAATTTTTCATAAAACATCATATTTCGTTTCTTAACTCACTGCACTGTGCTTTTCGTTTTCTTTCAATGAATAAGAATAAACAAGATTTTCCATTTTTCTTCCTTTTATATTGAATATCTTCTATTATATTTTGAGGGTGACTTTAACTAATAACATATATATTTCTTTTCATTTCAATCAAGCATACTGTGTAGTTTTCTACGGATTATGTTTGCAAGCATGCGTGATTATGTTGAAAACCGATAATTATTTTACTCGAGCAAACTATTAAAGAAAAGAAATTATAGAATAAAGGGAATTACCGTTTTATCTTTGTGACAAGAACTCAAGCTAAAAATATCCTAAATAGAAAACTATTACATACTTCTATACAAATTCATTTTCATATATTGAATTACATACAACAATAAACGGTACATTCTGCGAGTTTAATTCCGTGCCAATGAAAACGAAAGCTGAAAATGCGGGATATATTTACGAATGGACGATATTTGGAGTTCGTTATAAAAGTGTAATTTTTGTGTAAAAAAGTGTAAATTCGGGCCAAAATAAATTGTTCCTTATAACCGGAAGTTCGCTATAACCGTGTTCGCTATAAGTGAAGTTTACTGTACCTTTAGACAAGAGAAGTTTCAGATATTTGTTTCGCTTATTTTATAGCCGTTATTGGGTCATATTCCCAAATGAAGATAGTATATTATTTTCCCAATCCACAGGAAAAACTTCCCAATTGAAAGTTACAAATAAAAATATTGAATAAAAATTCTAAAATCTTTGCAAATAAGGGCTTCTTCACTGTAGTAGTGCTTAAATCTTTGAAGATGCCATCATAGACAGTAATTGTTTGCATCCACTGCAAAATTTCACTCATGCATTTTTTCCCAATTTTTAACAAAACACCGCTGAAATTCCCAACTCCATGGGTATGGGTCCTGTTCACAAAAAACTTGAATTTTTTTTTTTTTAATTTTTTACTTATTTTGACCCCAGGGCTATATTTTGAATAATCTTGGTAGAGGTTCATGCACATTCTTTCAGCTCTAGCCTTTGTCAATTAAGATAAGATGATTTTTTAAGTTTTACATATACATATAAGGAAAACCTATGACCCCCTGGCAGTGGCTAATTATGACACTAGAGACAAAATTGTAACAACTTTGGTAGAGTATCTATAGATGATATCATTTACCAAATATCAAAGATCTAAGCCTTGTACCTTCAGACAAGAAGGTATTTTAAGTTTTTACTAAATGTACATATAGCGAAAATCAATGACCTCCGGGGCGGGGCCGATTTTGACCCCAGGGCTATAGTTTGAACAATTTTGGTAGAGGTCTACCAGACAATGCCTTATGGAAATATCTATGCTCTAGGCCTTGTGGGTCTTTACAAGAAGATTTCTTAAATTTCTTCTTTTAATTCCTTTTGGTTGCCATGGCAACCAGATTTCTGCATGGAATGAAATTCTTTGAACAACTTTGGAAGCCCTTCATCCAAGGATCAATCATGCCAAGTTTGGTTGAAATTGGACAAGTGGTTTTTCACAAGAAGATTTTTCATTTTCACTATATAATCTATATAACACACAAACAGACACACATACATACACACAAACACACACACAGGTGAATTGCTATATGGCACCGCATCGCAGATTCTGCAGTGGCATAAAAACATCACTGGTTGCTATTGCTCAGGGAAAACAGTTGCAAAAGATGTGTACATGTTAGGAAAATTAATGACCCCCTGGGGTGGGCCAATTTTGATCCCAGGGCTTTAATTTAAACAAACTTGGTAGAAAATCACTAGAAGATGTTCAAAGCTAAATATCTAAGCTGTAGTTCTTTTGATTTTTCAAAAGCAGATTTATTAACTTTTTACTATATACATTAATTTTATCGAAAATCAATGACACCCTGGGCAGGGCCAATTTTGATCCCAGTGCTTTTATTTAAGCAAACTAAATAGACACTCACTAGAAGATGTTTCATGCCAAATTACTATATACATACAAAAAAGTCAAAGACCGCTAATGGTGCGGCCAATTTTCACCCCAGGACTTTTTTTTTGGACAAACTTGGTAGACGCTCACAAGAGGATGTTTCGTGTTAAATATCTCTGCTCTAGCTGTTTGGCTTTTTAAAAAAAGAGTAAATTAGTTTTTACTATTTACATTTAATGATAATCATTGACCTCAAGGACAGGGCCAATTTTGACCCCAGGGCTTTTATTTGAACAAACTTGATAGACACTCACTAGAAGATGTTTTATGTAAAATATCTAAGCGTTAGCTTTTTTTTGGTTTTATTAAAGAAGATGTTTTTAAGTTTTTTTCTTTATTCTGTAGTTCTGCATGGAATTTATTTATTTTAAGAATTTTTAAAGGTGACTACCAAATATACATTCCTGTGAAGTTTGGATGAAAATGGCTTAGGGTTTATGAGGAGATATTGGTTAAAGAAAAAGTTTAAAGACGATGGATGAAAAGCAATCACAAAAGCTCACCATGTCACTTTGTGACAGGTGAGCTCAAACTGAACAAAGGCAATTACTTCAAAATTAGCTCAAACTGAACAAAGGCAATTACTTCAAAATTAGGCAAGACAAAGTCATGTTGCTTTTTTTTGCACTGCTCATCTACCCTATGAAATCTATCTACCTACAAAATTTCTTGTTCACATCTTATATAGTGTCAGAGTTTTGTTCCAGACAAAAGCATTACAGTTCAAAGCATTAGTATGATCAAAGGGCAATAACTCCAAACTTAGGCAAGGCAGAGTTATGGTCCTTTTGCACTGAACATCTACCAAATGAGATTTATCTACCTACAAAGTTTTGTGTTGATATCTCTTATACTTTCAGAGTTATGTCCCAAAGTTCAAAGTGTAAAAATGAACAAAGAGCAATAATTCCAAAATTAGGCAAGTCAGAGTTATGGTTCTTAAGCACTCACATCTACTCAATGAGATCTATCTACCTACAAAGTTTCACGTTGATACCTCCTGTTGTTTCAGAGTTATGTCCCGGACAAGAAAAGTGGATAGGCGGACGAACGGATTAAGTGGCTACTAAATGATCACTCTTTGGGAGCATTATAACCAGGGCAATTTCAAAACCTGATAAAAAGTTAGTACAAGTATGGCAGGAACAGAACTTACCAAACAAACCTTTTCTGTTGCCAGTAGCAACAACTGCATAATGACTACTAACTTTTCCTTGACTCCTTGTTACTTTTGACACAATTTTACTCTAAAAGAAGATGTAATATATGTTAATCATAGATCAAAAACACGAAATAAATAGACAATTAATTCAACAGTTTCTAAGACAAACCAAAACCAGGTTTGGTAATAATATTTTTCAATTCACCTACGTGTGTGGGGGTCACACCCCACTTTTATTAATTTCTAAACTTAAAGTCAAAAGAATGAGAAGTATATATGTTGTTTGTATAATAAAAAATCTTGAAAAAATGTGATTATATTTGTCAAGGTAATTTACAGATCAAGGCCATACTAACTACATTATACAATCATGTTGTCAAAAGCCATACTTACATTTTACAATCCTGTTGTCAGAGGCCATACTTACATTATACAATCCTGTTGTCAGAGGCCATACTTACATTATACAATCATGTTGTCATATTATACAATCATGTTGTCAGAGGCCATACTTACATTATACAATCCTGTTGTCAGAGGCCATACTTACATTATACAATCATGTTGTCATATTATACAATCATGTTGTCATATTATACAATCATGTTGTCAGAGGCCATACTTACATTATACAATCATGTTGTCATATTATATTTAATCATGTTGTCAGAGGCCATACTTACATTTTACAATCATGCTGTCATAGGGCATACTTACATTATACACTCATGTTGTCAAAAGCCATACTTACAGTCATCCAATTTAGCTTTGGCCTGGTGGCCCATGGCCAGTGAAAATTATATCGGGCCAGTGAAAATTAGTTTCGGGCAAGTGTAAATTTTAAGAAAATTTAGTTAAATATATAGAAGAATAAATTCAAAACTGGAATTTAGGCCAGTAAATTCAAAATCTTAAATTCAATGACTGTACTTACATTATACAATTATGATGCCATAAGCAATACAGAGTTACAGAGAAGTAGCACGGAAACGATTATTGCTCTGGTTGTATACTGCCTAAGTTATCAAACGTCATAACTCTAAGTTAAAGTGTCTGACCCGAACAAGGCGACAATATGCGCATCTCCTCTTGGTATTGAAGGTTCCAATAAAGTTTCATTGAATTCCCCCCAGTAGTTGCAGAGAAGTAGTGAGGAAACAATTATTTCTCTATAGGCATACTGCACAACTAATCAAGGGCCATAACTCTGAGTTAAAGTGTCTGACCGGAACAAGGCAATGATATGCGCATCTCCTCTTGGTATTGAAGATTTCCATAAAGTTTCGTTGAATTCCAGTCAGTAGTTGCAGAGAACTAGCGCAGAAACGATTTTTACTCCATATGCATACTGCATAACTAATCAAGGGCCATAACTCTGAGTTAAAGTGTCGGACCGGAACAAGCTGACGATATGCGCATCTCCTCTTGGTATTGAAGGTTCCCATAAAGTTTCATTGAATTCCAGCCAGAAGTTACAGAGCAGTAGTGCGGAAACAATTTTTACTCTATATGCATACTACATAACTAATCAAGGGCCATAACTCTGAGTCAAAGGGTCTGACCGGAACAAGCTGACGATATGCGCATCTCCTCTTGATATTGATGATTCCCATAAAGTTTCGTTGAATTCCAGCCAGTAGTTACAAAGAACAGTACTCCGGAAATGAAATTTTACTCTATATGCATACTACATAACTAATTAAGGGCCATAACTCTGAGTTAAAGGGTCTGACCAAAACAAGCTGACAATATGCGCATCTCCTCTTGATATTTATGATTCCCATAAAGTTTCGTTGAATTCCCGCCAGCAGTTGCAGAGAACTACTCCGGAAACGAAATTCGGACGGACAACGCCAAAACTATATCCCCCTCCCGATTCCATCGGCGGGGGATAATTATGTTGTCATAGGCCATACTTACATTATACAATCATGTTGTCATCAGCCATACTTACATTATACAATCATGTTGTCATCAGTCATACTTACAATATACTATCATGTTGTCATCAGCCATACTTACATTATAGAATTATTTTGTCATCAGCCATACTTACAATATACAATCATGTTGTCATAGACCATACTTACATTATACAATCATGTTGTCATCAGCCATACTTACAATATACAATCATGTTGTCATCAACCATACTTACATTATACAATCATGTTGTCATCAGTCATACTTACAATATACTATCATGTTGTCATCAACCATACTTACAATATACAATCATGTTGTCATCAGCCATACTTACATTATACAATCATGTTGTTTTCAGTCATACTTACATTATACAATCATGTTGTCATCAGCCATACTTACATTATACAATCATGTTGTCATCAGCCATACTTACAATATACAATCATGTTGTCATAGACCATACTTACAATATACAATCATGTTGTCATAGGCCATATCTACATTATACAATCATGTTGTCATATGTTTTCATCCAGAATATATAAAAAAATTTACTTTATAATTAACAAGAGCACCGCTAGGCGGAGCATTATATGCCTGAAAGTGTTTGTTTTTTTAGTAAGGATGAAGCATTTGTAAGACATAACATTAATTAAATAAAGTATTACCTCCTTCAAATAGCAATCCTCCTTTAAAGATTGAATATTGTGGGCGAAATGGAACTTAAGTTATGCTCTGGAAATTGTTTTCAGTTTTGAGGTAACAGCGACCTTGAACTTTGACCTTGTGGCCCCAAAGTCAATAGGGATATTCTACCCAATATGGACAATCATCCTATGAAGTTTGAATATTGTGGGCCAAATAGACTTTAAGTTATGCTTCGGAAACTGTTTTTAGTTTTAGAGTAATAGTGACCTTGACCTTTGACCTTGTGACCCCAATATCAATAGGGGTCTTCTTCCCAATATGGACAATCATCCTATGAAGTTTGAATATTGTGGGCCACATGGAACTTAAGTTATGCTCCAGAAACTGTGTTCAGTTTTAAAGTAAAAGTGACCTTGACCTTTGACCTTGTGACCCTAAAATCAATAGTGGTCTTCTACCTAATATGGACAATCATATTATGAAGTTTGAATATTGTGGGACAAATAGAAATTAAGTTATGCTCCGGTAACTGTTTTCAGTTTTAAAGTAATAGTGATCTTGACCTTTGACCTTGTGACCCCAAAATCAATAGGCGTCTTCTACCCAATATGGACTATCATTCTATGAAGTTTGAACACTGTGGGTGAAATGGAACTATAGTTATGTTATGGTAACTGTTTTCAGTTTTAAGGTAATAGTGACTTTGACCTTGTGATCCAAAAATCTATAGGGGTCTTCTACCCAATATGGACAATCATCCTACCGACCGACGACCGACCGACCGACCGACCTACCAACCGACCGACTGACAGACAAATGCAAAGCAATATACCCCCACTTCTTTGAAGGGTGGCATAATATAAAAAAAATCATACAAAAATCATACAGCCTGATAAAGATGAAGTAAGTTTTTGAATAATGAATTACCTCCATGATGTAAGTCTCGAAGTCTGAAAAGTCATCTGTAAGAAAATAAGAGCATTTACTTGAAAATGTCATACATCTTCTGGAAGATAAATAAACTTATTTAATATTAAACAATGTCACATTTTCAGGTAACTCTTACATCTTAACAAATACTACAAACATTAATATTAAGCTCAATTGTAACACCCTGGATGAACAAGTTTTGTCACGTGACCACAAATGCAAACGCCGATTTAACATTTCAGCAAATATTTGCAGATATCTTTTTTTCCACTGCGAGCACAAAAGTAAGACAAAGACCTTAGGACCCGGCGTAAATTAAGCTTTTATATTATGTGAGTAGTCATTACTAGACTTTAGTAGTTTTTTAGAACACTTCGACACAAATGTTTTTTTCGCAAAGCAAACGCCGATAGTTTTTACTTTTTCCTATCATTTTTTTCACTGGAAATACATGTTGAGGTAAAATAATAGAGGATATGTCTTTTTACATGCCATTCCCGTCCCTAACTCATTTACAATTCCATTAGATCTAGCAAAGTTATATTTGACGTAATCCCATGTCATTCCCCGTATTGTCTAATTTGCAAACGTCGTTTGAACATGTAAAATATGCAAACGCCGGTTGAACATATTAGATATATAATATTTCTTGCATCTCAGACAGGATTTTCTTGCATCTCAGACAGGATTATCTACTGTTTACACCGGTGCTGGAAAACTCTGTCTTACATCCCCATGTAAGACAAGTCGCGTGCTTTAAATTACGTCATTGATGCGCGCCTTTTATGAATTAATCGCGTTCTTAAAATGACGTCATTTTTCCGTTATGAATGAAGTTGTATGTTCATACGCTACTATAAGAAAAAAGTGCGTAATGAGAATATCAGTTTTCATAATTTCTGTTCCGAAAAAAATTGACATGTAACATGCAAGAAAAAGAATCAAACACCGGCTGTCAGTACAGACGGGAATATCTAGCTCTCTGGTAACTGTTTAGCAGAAACGCGACAGAGCCTCGTTACCGCTGTAAACAGTCACTCTCGAGCTAGATATTCCAGTCTGTACCGGCAGCCGGTGTAAGATTCTTATATTCTTGCATCTCAGACAGGATTATCTACTGTTTACACCGGTGCTAGAAAACTCTGTCTTACATCCACCATGTAAGACAAGACGTGTGCTTTAAATGACGTCATTGACACGCGCCTTTAATGAATGAATCGCATTCTTAGGATGACGTCATTTTTCCATTATGAATGAAGTTGTATGTTCATAAGCTACTATAAGAAAAAAGTGCGATATATATACATCAGTTTTCATAATTTCTGTTCCGAAAATATTTGACATGTAATATGCAAGAAAAAGAATCAAACACCGGCTGTTGGTACAGACGGGAATATCTAGCTCTCAGGTAACTATTAAGCGGAAACTCGACAGATATTCCGGTCTGTACCGGCAGCCGGTGTAAGATTCTTATAAACCGGTGGTTATTTAAGTCAAGTTGCAAATATTACAATTCTCTGAACAAAAGACTTCTCTCTTTTCTCCTTTTTTATTTTAAAACATTCTTCTTCTTGAATAACAAACTTTTATAAAACTTCTGTATATCCCATATATACATTGTACATGTATACATAAAATCATATAATCTTCTCAAAAATCAATTCCACACAAAATCCGTCGGGAATAAACTTTGATTTAAAAATGTAGAAAAAAATCCATCTTCTTAGGTTGAACTATACAGCGACGTTGAACTACACAGTGAGATCACTTGGAGTTACTTGTTTCAAATAAAATTTAACGAAGGTGTTTTCTTTTGACCAATCTGCAGCGTTGAGAATTTGGACCTAAAGCTCTTGTAGAATGTGCTGTTTCGTTTTTATGTTTATCTTTATAAGCCTCTTGAATAGTTTTAAGAATATATGAAGCCAAATTTTGTGAAGAAGCTTTAGAATGAGGTACATTGTCAGAAATAAACTTGTTTAATCTTTACGTCTGAAGGATTTAGTTCTTTTAAGATAGATAGCAAATGCTCTTCTTGGATGGTCTTAAAAGCTGGTACAAAAATTTTTGCTGATGAATGACCAGGTCTATCCTGTTTAGCCAAACCTTGTCTGCTAAAAGTTTCCCCATCTGCCTTCACAGAAATAGCTCCTCCTAATGTTAACGCTTGAAGGTGGCTGGCTCCCCTGAATGTCGTGATAGCTGTAAGAAAAACAACTTTATATGTTAAAAATTCAATTGATGTTTTTCTCAAAGGTTCAAAAGGAAATGTTTGTAGTGAACTAAGAACTTTAGGCAAATCCCATTCAGGCAATAACTTTGTTACAGGAGTTCTTAAATTGAATACTTTTAATTATCTGATAACAAACGGATGTTGACCAATAGGTGTGTTATCTACTGGAGGTAAAACTGCAGATAAAATAGAGCGGTAACCTACTGTAAACCTTTATTGTACAAATCTGATAAAAACTCAGCACAAGTATTTAAGGATGCTGTGAAGGAATCAATATTCTTTTGACGACACCATATCATAAATTGTCTTAATTTACTGGAGTAATCTTTCTGAGTACCAGTTCTCCAGCTGGTTGTAAGAAGTTTTGAAAAAAAATCTTTTTCTCTAAACTGTCTGTCGATAGCAACCATGCAGTCAGTTTCAGAACACCTGGATTTGGATGACATATCTGAGATTTTGGTTGTTGTAACACGTTTGTAACCAATAGAAGACATAACGGTTGAGCTTCCGGCAGATTCAATAAATCTGGAAACCATGGGCGTAGTGGCCAGAATGTTATTAGAATCAGTTTTCAATGAAATTGTTTAATATGATGAAGAACTCTGGAAATGAGACAAATATAGTTCAGCGTTCAAAAAGACATCAACGGGTGCTTGCATATATTTCAAATGACCAACCGACGTTTGCCCATTTTACATAATCAAACGACGTTTGCAAAATCGACAACAAGTGGAAAACATGGGTTTATCTCAAATATAACCTTGCTAATGAAATTATGAATAAGTTAGGTACGAAAATTACTTGTAAAAAACATATATCTACTATTATTTTCCCTCAACATAGGTTTCCAGTGAACAAAAAAGATTAGAAAAGGTAAAACCTATCGGCGTTTGCCTACCAAAAAGAAAATTTGTGTCGAAGTGTTCTAAAAAATCACAGAAGCCTCGCAATTACTACATACATAAAATAAAAGCTCAATTAACGCCGGGTCCTAAGGTCTAGGTCATAATTTTGTGGATGCAATAGAAAAAAAGATATTTTCAAATAATTACCTGAAATCGGGTCCGTAATTGCTGAAATGTAAAATCGGCGTTTGCATTTGAGGTCATGTGACAAAACTTGTTCATCCAGGGTGTGTAATCTTTCACACATGCAAACTCTTAGTACGAGGGATGATCCAGAATTGACAGGAATTTTGTTCATAATTCTGATAAATTTCATTATGTTTTCATTTGGTTAATACAATCTTAAATTTGATGTTTCTTTTATTAATTGCAAAATATTATTTAATAAATGGCATCCAGTACAATCAGAGGGCATAATTACATAACTATGGAAATGCCACTGCCCATAGGGTCCAGGGCTCACGCTGTCGGTCGCCATAGTGCCCATTTGCGATTATTTTATAAGATTGGCGATTATTTCTGCATTTTGGCCACAAAATCTGGCGATTATTTTTTACTTCCAACAGTGTTTATATAAGGTGTAAAAATCGATAAAGAATGCAGTAGACCTAAATAACACCAGCGGGGTGCATTTAATTAGGTGTCAACTTTTTACCAGTCACGTGCTGCTTACTATATTGCCCGAGGTGATAAAATACATGCAAGATATATAATTGTATAAGTACTTTAAAGATATTGTCCAGCATTTATAATAGCCATCAAATATCCGTCAATTAGCCGCAAAATTCGTTTTAAAATTGATAAACTGGATACTGACTTACCCAAAATTTACCGTGAATTGCAGTAATTGCAAATTTTGATTTTTTGTTTGTTTTAAGCTACTTGACTAAATCGCCAGTGGAAAACAATGGCAAAATATTCAAAAAGTATTAACTTCCAAACAACTATTTGCACAACAACCAAAATTGTGAATATTTCATCAGAAAACAGGAAAAATCCGATTGTCACATATTTTCGCGACACCGATAATTTTGATATTTATTTAAAGGTGAAATAAGCTATGTTCTGTTTAAAAATCTTTACAGAAATCATTGCAGAAAATTAGTATTACATTGGTGATGATGATATTTTTCAGTAAATTATTCAGAAAAAAGGCTGCATTCTGTGAATGAGTTTGCAAACTTGTGTTATTTCTATAGGCTAATATGACCTAGATCTACTCCAGTTCTGTGTGAAATGTGGAAATTGACAGTGGTTATAGCTGACAATATTTGATTAGAACAAACAAAAGAAGTTGTCTGATAACAGCATTATGTAAAGTTATAATGAATCTTTAATATTATTGTTATACAGTCATTATACTAATTATAATGTTTTTATTCTGTTCTATAATAAAAATTAAAGTTGTGGTTCTATTTAAAAAAGGTAGGTATCAATATACACAAATATATCAGTTTACCGTATTTGAGAATCCTTTTAAAACTGAAAAAAGTTTTATATAAATGTAATGTTTATTTAATCAACTGCTCATGTTGTTAATCGCTAATTCGTGATAGCCCGCTGAACTTTTGGCTATTATTTTTTTAAGTTGAAAATATTGGCTATTATTTTATTTGAGCCAGTGTGAGCCCTGGGGTCACAGCTCAAAAAACGCAATGTAACATACACCAAAGTGCCTGATACAACAAGGCTATTGCCAAGCAGGGACAACCTTCAACTTTTTCTTACTTCAAAGGTCAAACACACTGAAGAAAGATTATTGCAGTAAAGAAAAACCCTAGACAGCATAAACTGTCTTGAACATATCATTATTCAAATCTCATATTTGACCTTGATGTTCAAGGTCATTCAAAGATCAAGGTCATTCAAAGGTAGTCAAATTTGAATTAATCATCATAATGTCATATTTGTCATCAGTGTTCTTGTGTCCAAGAATGAACCAAAGCCACAGATAATTTACAAAGTTATGACAATTTAAGCAAATTTCAGTATTTTGACCTTGATGGTTAAGGTCAATTAAAGGTCAAGATCACATCAGAAGAATTCAACATGCTGGTTTTGTCATAATTGTTCTTTTGTCCAAGTATGAAACAAATTTGTAAATAAATAATAAAGTAATGAAAATTCATACAAATTTCAATAAATTAAACTTGATAATCAATGTCAATTTAAGGTTAAGGTTACAAGGATCACATTTCTAGGTGACTTGGGCGAATTAGTCACCCTGTCTTTTTCCATTTTACCCAGTTTGCTTAGAAAAAATTAAAACAAAACCGCCCTTACATGGATAAATTCAAAATAATTTCCCAAATTTATGTCAAAATTGTCCACGCTCAGCCTAATTCAAAACGGTCCATTAAACCTATGTTCATTGGTTGGTAAAATTAGAAAAACCAATGAAAAGCTATGATACAACTGCCATGACTCATTAAATTAATCGTTACAATTAGATATTACATTAGTTTGTTTGTTTCAAATGAAAAATGCACAACAGAAAACATCTACATAGCACTAATAAGGGTTTTTGTGTTGGAAACAAGGATGGAGAAGAAAAATGTCAAACATGTACGTAATGGATTAAAACTGTTTTGTCAATAAATATATATAATTTCTTTCGTTTGAGCAGACGAATTAGAAAGAAATTATTTTCCCTTCAATCGTGTAAAGTCTCCGATAGGGGTCGCGATTAGCGCACAAAGTTTTCGTGCGTAACAGTAGTCAAGTTATGAGTCAGTTCTGCTTTGGGTTACTGACCATTGTACACGTCGATTATATTTTACGTTTTATAAAACATAAATTTTGTGTATCATGTAGGCCTCATTAATGACAGCCAAAATCAATAGGGGTCATCTACTGGTCATGACCAATCATCATATAAAGTTTGAAGTTCCTAGGCCTAAGTGTTCTTTAGTTATTGATCGGAAACCGTTTTTACTTACAAGGTTGTGACCTTGACCTTTGACCCCAAAATCAATAGGAGTCATCTACTGGTCATGGCCAATCATCATATAAAGTTTGAAGTTCCTAGACCTAAGCATTCTTTAATTATTTATCTGAAACCATTTTTACTTACAAGGTCAATGTGACCTTGACCTGTGACCCCAAAATCAATAGGGGTCATCTACTAATCATGACCAATCACCATACCAAGTTTGAAGTTCCTAGGCCTAAGCATCGAGTGGAAACCATTTTTAACTTCAAGTAAATGTGACCTTGACCTTTGACCCCTTGACCCCAAAATCAATAGGGTTCATCTACTGGTCATGACCAATCACCATACCAAGTTTGAAGTTCCAAGGCCTAAGCCTTCTTTAGTTATTGATCGGAAACCGTTTTTACCTACAAAGTCAAAGTGACCTTGACCTTTGACCCCAAAATCAATAGGTGTCATCTACTGGTCATGACCAATCACCATACCAAGTTTGAAGTTCCAAGGCCTAAGCCTTCTTTAGTTATTGATCGGAAACCGTTTTTACCTACAAGGCCAATGTGACCTTGACCTTTTACCCTTGACCCCAAAACCAATAGGGTCATCTACTGGTCATGACCAATCACCATACCAAGTTTGAAGTTCCTAGGCCTAAGCGTTCTTTAGTTATTGACCGGAAACTGTTTTTACCTACAAGGTCAATGTGACCTTTGACCCCTTGATCCCAAAAATCAATAGGGGTCATCTACTTGTTATGGCCAATCACCATACCAAGTTTGAAGTTCCTAGGCCTAAGCTTTCTTTAGTTATTGATCGGACACCGTTTTTACCAACAAGGTCAATGTGACCTTGACCTTTGATCCCTTGACCCCAAAATCAAGAGGGGTCATGTACTGGTCATGAGCAATCACCATACCAAGTTTGAAGTTCCTAGACTTAAGCATTCGTTAGTTATTGATCGGAAACCGTTTTTACCTACAAGGTCAATGTGACCTTGACCTTTGACACCTTTACCCCAAAATCAATAGGGTTCATTTACTGGTCATGACCAATCACCATACCAAGTTTGAAGTTCCTAGGCTTAAGGGTTCTTTAGTTATCACTCGGAAACCATTTGGTCTACGGACCGACAGACCGACAAATGCAAAGCAATATACCCCCTCTTCTTTGAAGTGGGGGCATAATTATTGGAGCGTTCTAATTATTAAACATTAATATAAATAAAGTTGAAAAACTATCCCAACACAAAAGAAAAATGTCAGGTATAAAATGGTTGACCTTTTTTTATTCATGCTTGGTCTTAAGAGACTGTTTCATTAAGCGATCATTTTTGTTGTTTTCCTTGCGCGGTCGTTTAATACACGTTTCACTGTACATTAACTTGCAGTGGTTGCAGTTTGTTATAAGAAGATAATATTTTTTTCTCTACTGCACACATGTTAATTATTCTGTGGAAAAAATCCTCATGAATTTTATTAAGTTTATATTAACTAGGTGACTCTGCAGTGAAACCATTGTCTAGTAATATTTTTGGGGGAAATATTCGAAACTAGCGATTTATTAAAATAAAATGTTTTTACTTCAGCAAAACATCACCTGGCTGCAATGACTACATCAAAACAAGCTGAACCTATAATAAAAATGATTGAAAAAACAACAGCTGTCACAGGAGACAGCGATTCAGCTCAGCTATTCAAATACTGGACGCAGTAAGGAAGATAAAACTATGAAAGAACAAGATTGCATTTGAGAAAAATGCTATGCCACCGCATTAATACAACACTAAATAGTAGTGTAGGAACAGATTTTTTTGTTTCTATACAATTTTGTAGATTGTCATAATGCATAGATTCCTGACCTATCTAATTCTTATCAGATTAGTGGTTAAATCTGTTGTTATCTAATAAAAGATGAGAGTAGGAATATATCAATGCACTCGAGTCTAGTGAATTTGGTGGTGAAGGTCATATTTCACACAGCCTAAATTTCATGACTTCATCAAAGGACAACACAGTAAGACACTTTGTCAAAATCTAGGTCAGCTGATATCAAAGCTCACTTTACATCTTAATCTGTGCACATGGTTCAAATTTCATAGCTGTACATCAAAGGACAAGGAAGTAGGTCACATCATCAAAATCTAGGTCACCTGATATCAAAATTCAATTTTACAACTAAAATTGTGCACATGGTCAAAATTTCATTGCTGTACATCAAAGGACAAGAAAGTAGGTCACTGTCCCTTTGGGCAAGGCAAAATTTTGGACC